GGTGGAAACGGTGGCGGCGGTGGCAATGAAAACACAAGCAACTGGCAGCATGGAATTCAAGCGTGGAGTAGCCATGATTTGCAGCAATATAATGCTTTGCCCTAGATGATCATGAGGTAGACACAAATCCAAAAAGCATAGGGTGATCATGAAAAAGTGGGGAAGTTATATTATTGTTTATTTTAAGAAATTGTCCAAGACTAAAACCCCATTTTGGCATATGTTTTGTTGTTGGTTTTGTTGGGTTCATATGCAAAAATGTAAAAGTTTAATTGGTAACAAAAAGAAAAGTACTTTTTGCCCTAAATCCATTTGTATATTTTAGAATTCAGTAATATGTTGATCAATAGTATTCTCATCTGTTTAATTTGATAACTTGTTGCATTGCTTTTTTACATTATGTTCTTCTTTTTTTGTGCAGTGCTTTGTGTTGATGTTCATCAGTTCACATGTAGTTTTCCCCATTTCTTATGCATGTAGATTCAGGAAAAAAGTTGCTGTTTATGGTAGCAATAAATACACTAGCTTTTCATGAAGTGAAATAATATCCTTGCACCAAAATGCAAGAACATCTCTCTCTCTCTCTCTCTCTAGATCTCTCCCCCCAAAAAGAAATCGTTTTGTGGGTATCCAAGTTTCTTCGAGTAGTTAAGAATCTATAACATTGGATTGAATGTAGCAAGTATGATGCTAGTTAAACAATGTAGCATTTAAATCTGATCACTACTTAATCCATTCATTCATTCTTTCTAGCTTCTTCCCTTGTCTCAAATAAAAATCCCATTGGGATCTGTGTATATAGATTTTGGGCTGTTATTAAATGGGGACTTAATACCATATCTTTGATTTGTTTTATGTTCAGTCAGTATCTACAACTCTCACTGTCTACTAATTAGTGTGTCTTTGTCTCCCCTCTGATCTCTTTCTCTTTCTATACATCTCTATCAAGGAACTGAGTCTCAGGCTCCATCTCTCCTCCTCGGCCTCTGATCACAATGTCATTGTATGAAACAGAAACACACCACAGTAGCTCAGTAGCTCAGTAGCAGTAATGGCCAGCTACTTAAAGCCTCCATAGCCCTGCAATAGTTGCAATGTTGAGCCAGCCTAGCTGGCCTCTGATCACCCTCGGCCTTCTCTCTCTCTCTCTCGCTCTCTCTGGCTTGGGCTGTCTTCGTAATAATTAGTGGCAGTGTGGTGCGTACATGATTTGGTGCTGTCTGAAAAAGTGGTGGTTTGAAAGTGCATTGAATGAAGGACTGTCAACATTTGAATCAATGAGAGAGAGAGAGAGAGAGAGAGAGAAAGAGAGAGAAACAAAAATGTGGCATCTTAAAGCTTAGGGTTCGATTTTTGGTGTATCAAAAAAAAGGTGTGTGTTTAGCTTTTTAGAGTCTTGGAGGACGAGCCCTCCTCCCTCCGTGCTAATTGCTACCACTGAAAGCATCTCTCATTGTGATTCTGTTTCATGACAAGTGAGAGGGAAAAGCAAACCCTTTCTCTCCCTCTGCCTTGCCCTACTTTATTCTTTACCTTGCCTATTTTATGTGAAACTAAACAGACCCCACAATAACTTTCAAAAAACACATTAGCAGAAATAATATCGCATAAAGCTCCTCCTACATTTCCCTTTATGTCCATGTATATATATATATATATATATATACTCAATATGTATCCAAAAAGCATGCTTGCCATTAATTCTTTACATAATACACGAATGGCTTGCTTGCTTGCTTGTCCTTCAATTCTTAAGCAAATCTTTGCATGCATATTAATATCAATGAATTCTTACTCTTTGCATCAGCAAAACCTCTCTCTCTCTTAGAGAGAGAGAGAGAGAGAGTCTAAGAGAGAGAGAGAGAGAGAGAGAGAGAGAGCTATCCACTTATTTACTTTTTAGCAGAAATAATATCGCATAAAGCTCCTCCTACATTTCCCTTTATGTCCATGTGCATGTATATATATATATATACTCAATATGTATCCAAAAAGCATGCTTGCCATTAATTCTTTACATAATACACGAATGGCTTGCTTGCTTGCTTGTCCTTCAATTCTTAAGCAAATCTTTGCATGCATATTAATATCAATGAATTCTTACTCTTTGCATCAGCAAAACCTCTCTCTCTCTTAGAGAGAGAGAGAGAGAGAG